ATCATTAAATTCAGATGCAAGACTATAGCTAGTGTCGAAATTCCCATAATTTCACAAATGTAGTCAGAATAAAACAACAAACAATAAACAAAATAATAAATAGACATACAAGGCAAAATCAATTCATTGTTTATATTTTATTGAAGAAAACTTAGAATTTTTCAACATGCACTCTTTGCATTTTTTGAGTTTTTTTCGAATACATAATATTTATTCTTTCTTGACGCCATCTTCCTTCTTAATTTTTTTGGTTTCATTGACCCCGTCGTCCTTCTTTGGATCAGCTACACATTGTAGACCCATTGCATCCATTTCCATGCAGAGCAAATGCATATCTTTCGATTCGTTCTTTGGCACCAAGAGTTCTTCTTTCGGTTTTTTCGATTCATTCTTCACAGTTTCACCAATGAAAATCACCGAGTCGTCTTCGAAAGTTCCAACGTAAATTACAGAATCATCACCATTTTCTAAATGAACAAACAAAGACATCGAAAAGACACAAACAAATCAGTTTAAAATGGAATGATGCCGTTCCCGCTATTTTTTTTGTTAAAAACTGACCTTTAATGGTGTTTACGTCCCCAGCCATTTGAACATGAATGACGTCATAGCCAATGGCACCTTCTGAAGAAAATTGAAAATACAAATCAATAAAAATGGTTCAAATCTATGAAGTTATAGTTAAGTATTATTATTTTACCTTCATTCTCTTCTTCAACGACATCGCGACCGACGGCATTTTCATTTTGAACGTTAACTTGTTCTGAACTTTGTATTTCCACAGATAAATTCAAATCGTTGGGGATTGCATCACGATCACGAGTATAAACTAAGCGTTCATCACCGATTTGCAAAATTGCAGTAGAACGCGTGAATCGAAACATTTTTTTTAACAAACAATAAAAAAGAACTTATGTTAAGAAAATAACGTAATGAGAACTTAGTCTTATGCGTAATGTATGTTGACCAGAGTTGTTTGAGAGAAGTAATGCGATCTGTTTGAAGTCCTGCTTATAAGTGTACACAATATATGTGTCAGTGAAGTCAAAACAAATTTTTATTTACATTATGCGCATTGTGCATTGATGTGTTGGTACCAAAAATGTGTATTTTCGATGAATTTATGCACACTTACAAAGACAAAAGAATCTAATGAGTGTACGAAAAGATTTCATATGTTCAATATAGCACGGAGAGGGGCGGGGAGAATAAATCATATATTCCACTGTGCGCTGCTTCGACGATGAGATTGTAAGACAAAGCATACTTGTGTTTTTTCTGTTTCTCCGTATAAATGTTTCACTTGCTGTAAGTCAATATTTCCATCCGATTTGTAATATTCATACCGAAATACACCAGCAGGCATTGTTTACATTAATGTGTTTGAAAAAAAATCTTTACTCCACTGTGCGTGTTCTTTGTGTGAGTGTCACAGCGACTTCACGCGTTTCACAAACACACATGAGCATACGTCAACGGCACATTTCAGTTTAACTTCGTTCTTTCTCTTCAAACAAAATAAACTCCGCTGCATACTTTGATCGCTGTTATTTTCTTTTCTCGAATATTCATTTCGGTGCTATTTTCGGTGCTCAGTGGTGAAGTAACCTATTCTAATAATTATTGGTGCACAACGTTACATATAAAATGAATCAAAGTCATTTAAACGAAAACTTAATCGGCGAATCAAAATCGGAAGAGAAGCGAAAAGATCATTCAATTCGATATCCATCAGATAACGAAAATGGTTAGTTAAAAAATTGTGTAGAAAACTAGTGAAAAGTGTTTTTTATTTTGATTATTTTTTATCTTTTCTGCTGTGTTGAGCGGCGTATTCTACCATCGATATAAAATCCATTTTTATGAGTTTTCGTTAATACATTTGTAAACTTAATAGGAAACGACTCATCGATTGTTTACATCGGAACTATTCTACCAAAATCAAAAGAAAGTGACTCAGTGGAGTACATCGGAACAAGTTACTTAAAAGCAAAGGAAGACAATGCATATTCTGCGGATATATCGGCTGATTCAGGCAGTTCATGGTCGTTTAACACTCCACCAGATAGGACACGTGAATTGCGTTTACTCTATGCTGGTCTTGGATCACTAATTTCTGATGAAAGGCTTCGCCCACCTGTTTGTTTAACCGAAACTGATGGTGTTAGTCAGGCATTTGTAACATCGACACCAAAATCAAAGTCGGAGAAAGGATTTCGTTCAAATATGACAAGACGACTTTCGTTTTAGTTATTTACATTCCTACACATAAAATCAATTAGAATAAAATACATATGTGTCATCATGACACTGTCGTGTGTCGTGTTTTATGCTTTATTAAAACAACATTTTCTTTAAATAAAATCGAACAAAATAAAATTAGGAAAAGAAGCCGTTTACTTCTTCTGCTAAATACTCAATGCTATTTAACCGTAAATAAAGTTTCTTTCTTTTAATTTGATCACATGGGAAAATGCAGCACTCATTTGTCTTGTTGACTTCAGTGAGGTGATAGTGAATATAGTTTATTTCATATATATTAAGGAAAACATAGCATATATCATTTGATTTAAAATAAAATTCGGCTGTTCCAAATATATTATCGTCCATTTCCAGAAAATAATCAGTAGATTTAGTCGCAACTGATATCAAGCATGTGTAAGTATGTCCGTTCATCTTAAGTCTTCGAGCCACTTGAATGTGTGTATCGTTCGATTCGGAAAAATGATAACTTTCAAATACTTGCTTATATTTAACGGTCATCTGTATTTTTTTCGGCTGATATAATATTGAACGCGTTTCATACGTTTCAAGGTTTGTATGTAGAATTTTATCGAAATTCTTGGAAATGGCGTATTTTTCTGCAATTTGTACAATAACATTACTTTTTCCCGTCACGAAATTTTTAATGACACCAATACTGCTTTCAAATCCAAATAATGCAGTAGACCACAAAGGTCCATTGAGTCGAACCATTTGTTCGTAATGTCTCAACAAATGACAGTTCATTGTCACCGCACCTCTTCCATATATATCTTCAAAATCATCCGCGAATTTAGTTAGCATTTGTCCTGCATGTTTTAATTCCGATTCATCAATTTCACATTTACATAAAATAAAAGTTGCTGCTGATAGTAATTCAAAATGTTTGATAACTCTTGTAGGTAAAAGATCATTTAGAGCGAATCTCATATAATATAGTAAAACATTTAACAATTCTGTGGCTTTAAATGTTGGTAAATCTAGAATCGGTCTTGGTTTACGTTTAAAGTGCAATAATGGTTTGAACTGTGCAATGCGATCACTTAACAGCTTTCTTTCCACGTTGTTTTTTAGTTTGATTTTCAGATTGTTGTTTACGGATGGAATTTTTCGAATGCCAAGCCATATTTGAATAATGTCTTTTACAATACCTAATGAAATTCCATGCATGAAATCAATTGAAAAACTTTCAATTACATCGAAATCATCAAAAAGCAGCATGCATGAATACCCTTTAATTCCTTCAATTGGTTCCGTCTTGTTTTCGACGGTACTCGCTTTTTTTACTGTGTCTATGTGTGTTCTTGGCTCACAGCCCTCTCGCTTCACATATCTGATAGTGGTTCTTTTCTTAAAATTTAATACTGCTTCTCCTGGATGTTTACATAATGGACATGCGGACTTTCCAGTAGGTAACTTCATATTTTGTAGCAATGCTCGAGCTGGAAGATCACAGCTTGCTGTGACGATGGCAGGCACTATTTCAATAAATTGTTTTCCATCGAAAATCGATATGTCGCACTGATCAATTTCTTTGGCAAGAAGTGCTGTTAAGTGAAAAGGGTTTGGCTTCTCCTTTCCATAGAAAAGTGTCACTAGGAAAATATTTTCGGGTCGATATCTCACTTCTGGTGGTAGATAATTCTGATATAATTGAATGAGCCATAAAGATTTATCGGAGCTTCGAAAAATTTCAGCGCCGTCTGCATTTAATGTAAAGGACAATAGTTTTTTATGGGGATGTTTAGTCAGTAATCGTTTGAACAAAATGCCATCATCAATGTCTTGAATAACATCTTTTTTATGTTGACGATTCAAATAAGAAAGGACATTGTTCAAAT